GTGATGTAAAAATGGCCAATAATTTTTGAAAGTGTAGCACCGTCTCACCAAACCGGCAAAGAGAGTACGTGACGCCAACGAGATCACCCGAACACACATGTAAATACTTCTCATTATCTCTGGACTGACGCGACTGATATCAGTCGGCTATTAATTTTCACCAGAACCATTGATGAAAATGTTGTTGTTCATGAAGAATGATGTGAGTTAATTCCTCTGAAAACTGCTAAGAAAGGGGGTTGGATATTTACCGAGTTCTTACTTTAACTGTCAGTAAATACTATGGATTTCAGACGTGTTCCCGCCTTGTGACGGGTGGTGTACAATCGATGACTGGCTGTAAACACCGCTTTGGTAGGTTTTGCTGAAACAAAATGAAATTGAATGTTATCTTCCACCGCATCATACGCCAGGGATCCCTTTGCAGAAAACCACGCGTTCGCCCACAAATATACAGTCAATTCACTTTACAGTGTGTTCTGTGAAGCGCTTTGGGACGTCCTCCCAACGTGAAAAGCGCTATATCAAATGCAAGGATTATTATTATTATTATTAATATGATGACCAGAGTCATCAAAATGATCAATATTATCCACGGAGGAAATCGAGCACAGAGTCACAGGAAGTTCATAAACTTCCTTGAAAAATTAACTGCAGAATATTGTGATTTACCTCTTTATTCAGAAGTGTATTGGCTGAGTGTGCACAACTGCCTTGTGCAGTTTTTTTGCACTTAGGAATGAGGTACTTTTTGAAGGAACGTGTAAAGAGCAACACCACACAGTGTGAAGAGAAATTAGAAGATCCTTACTTTGTTCATTGGCTTTCGTTACAGACATAACGGCCATTCACATTCTCAATCTTCAAATTCAAGGTAGAAATCAGAACTTGTTGACAGATTCCACATAAAGCTACACGTGTTGAACTCATGCCTCTTGCACAACAACCTCACCCATTTTCCATCATGCATGGAACTTGTAATTGAGCTTGAGGAGACTGATTTTCACAGTGTTTCAGAAACCATAACAGAGCTATTGGATGAGTTCAGTGCCAGATTTGCAGATTTTGAGGGTCTGAGTTCCAGCGTCCAACTATTCACCAATCCGATGGAGGTGTCGATTGAGCAGCAACCAAAAGATCTTCAGTTGGAGATGTATGAACTGCAGGGGACCCATTGTTCCTCTGAAGGAAGAGTGAGATTCACCAAAACTTCTGGAAAATATTCCCAAGGATCATTTTCCTAAATTAAATGACTTTGCACTGAAGATGCATGCTGTGTTTGCAAGCGCATACTTTTGCGAAAACCTGTTTTCTACAGTGAAACACGTTAAATCTAGCGGCTTCTACCCCGACTCACTGCTCCCTCCACCTACTACATGTGAAAAGGAGCTCTGATCAATGGCATGGTGCTGTTGGACGTCCCCACCCACCCACCCAGATTGACATTAAGTTTTGGTCCCATTTGGGAAAGGAGGAGTTAGAATCATCCAAATATACAGCATAAAAGGAGGCCATTCGGCCCATCGTGTCCGTGCCGGCTTTCTGAAAGAGCTGTCCAAATTAATCCCAATCCCCTGCTCTCACCACATAGCCCTCCTTCTGACCACATTCCTGAGCTTTAAGATACTGAAAAAAAAATTGGACCTGTATTAAGTCTCTACATTGTTTGGTCTTTGTATTTCCTGTCTACCCGAGTGCCTTGTGTGGGGTTAATGTGCGTCAGGATGGCTGAGGCCAACTCCATTTCATTGGGGTCCTTCTAACTAAATAAATAAGCATAAAGTGGTCACTCAATCCACAACTGGTGTGGGACGCTGCCAAGTTTCACCCACAAAATAATATAATAACCCTTGCATTTGATATAGCGGTTTTCACGTCTTCTCGACGTCTCAAAAGTGCTTCACAGAATAGACTGTAAAGTGAATTGACTGTATATTTGTGGGCGAAACGCGGCAGCCAATTGCGCACAGCAATGTCCCACAAACAGTCATGGATTGAAAATGACCAATTTTTTATTGTTTTGTTTTTTTGGAGGGATTATTATTGGGCGTGTGGAGTAAGGAAACTTGCCCAAGGTTTCGCTGTGCCTGGAATTGCACCCAAGTGTCTCTCTTGCAAGGCGAGTACTCTAACCACTGAGCTACAGGACTTCAATAAAATATACAGCCACTACACTTCACAGTATATCCTGTGAAGTGCTTTGAGCCGTCTCAACAATGTGATAAGGCACTATATCAAATTCAAGGATTATTATTATTATTATGTAAAAGCAAGTTGTTGTTGTAGGGACACGGATTGAAGCCACTATGAAATGCTGATCTAAACCGCTCTGTGATAGGGAATCCATAGAAACAGGTCATATTTATCTCAGTGCAACACAAGCCTAAAGAGACTAGCAAAACCCTAAACGTTGACATGTTTTCCCTAACAATTCTGTTTGAGAAACCTGGACAGAACTGTAACCCTGTGTATCAGAATCTGTACTAATCTAGGAAAGTTCACCTCTTAAATCTATTTAGGTTTACTTAGGTTTGAATACTTATTGGCGTTTAAGAGACATCTTAAAACAGGATGACTTGGTCGTTGGTATCCCCAGGGCTTACAGGCTGGAGCTGAACCTCCCCTTGAATGAATGAGTCATTCAAGATCGTGTCACTGCAAATTTCAATAAAAAGACCCTTCTTCTGTCTGTGATGATGGCTTTTGAGTAATAAGTGCATTTTCTTGTGATGAAAACATTCATGGCTTGAAGTTAAATTGACAATGCAATACTTGATGCACCTCATATTGGCTTCTCGAAAGCAATATTTTCAGTTGCAAATAACAACAAAATTACATGTGCATAACGCCTTTCAAGTCAGGAGGACATCCAAAGAAGCTGGACAATCAGTGTTTCGGAAATACTTAAAAAATGATGTTACAAAATGCCAATGTCCAATTCTACCCTACAACGAGAAGATTGAAAGAACAGTCTCAGTTGCTTGAATCAGATTCCCACCAGAGAGTGAAAATAGCTTCAGAACTGAAAAAGGAAATAAAAGGGGCAAAAAGATTATACAAAAAAAGGTTAGCGGGTAACACTAAAGGGAATCCTAAAATATTTTACAAACATATCAAGAAAAAAAGTTAGTCAAAGGTAGGGTGGGGACAATTAAGGACCGAGGCGGAATCTTATTGTGGAGGCAGAGGCTGATGAACTGAATGAGTACTTTGCATCTGTCTTCACAAAAGAAGTGGAAGCACCAAATGCCGCAGTATCAGAGGAGAGGGCAGAGGAAATGGAGAGGATAAGTATAAACAGAGAGGAAGTACTGAAAAGTTGACTGCGCTGAAGGTGATAAGTCACCCGGTCCTGAGGGGATGCAGCCGAGGTTACTATGGGAGACACGGGTACAAATAGCGGAGGTTTTGGCTACAGATTTTCAGTCTTCATTGGACACAGGAGTGGTGCCCGAGGACTGGAGAGTGGCCAATGTGACTCCCCTGTACAAAAAGGGGCAGAAGGACAAACCTGGGAACTACAGGCCAGTCAGTAGTGGGGAACTCCTGGAGACTATAATCCGGGACAGAACAAATCTTCATTTAGAAGAATATGGGTTAATTAGGGACAGCCAACACGGATTTGTTAAAGGCAAATCTTGTCTAACAAATCTTTTAGAATTTTGCAATGAGGTAACGGAGAGGGTGGATAAAGGTAGTGAAGTTAATGTAATTTATATGGACTTTCAAAAGGCATTTGACAAAGTGCCACATAAAAGACTTGTAAAAAAAATAGAAGGCCATGGTATAAAAGGGACGGTGGCAGCGGATCCAGAACTGACTGGGAGAAGAAAGCAGAGAGTTGTGGTGAACGGCTGCTTTTCTGACTGGAGGGAAGTGTACAGTGGCATTGCCCCAGGGATCAGTATTAGGACCACTGCTCTTCTTAATATATATTATATATATATATATAAATGATCTGGACTAGCAAGTACCATTTCCAAGTTTGTGGACGACACAAAGTTAGGGAGGGGGTAAACAATGAGGAAGGTAGTAGCCAACTGCAGGAAGACATAGACAGATGGTAAAATGGGCGACACATGGCAGATGAATTTCAATGTGGAGAAATGCGAAGTAATACATTTTGGTAGAAAGAATGAGGGGAGGCAATATAGGCGGTAATACAATCTTAAGGGGGGTAAAAGAACAGAGAGACCTGGGGGGGCAGGTAAATTAATCCTTGAAGGTGGCAGGACAGGTAGATAAGGCTGTAAAAAAGGGCAAATGGGATTCTAGGCTTTATAAATAGGGGCATAGAGTACAAGAGTCAGGAGGTTATGATTAACCTATATAAACACAGGTTAGGCCTCAGTTAGAATACGGCCCCAGTTCTGGGCACCACACTATAGGAAGGATGTTAAGGCATTGGAAAGGGTACAGAGGAGATTTATGAGGATGGTACCAGGAATGAGGGACTGTGATGATGAGGAAAGGCTGGAGAGGTTAGGATTATTCTCATTGGAGCAGAGAAGGTTACGAGGAGACCTGATGGAGGTCTTCAAAATCATGAGGGGATTTGATAGGTTAGAAAGGGAAAAACTGTTCCCACTGGGGGTGTGTGTCGGTGACTCGAGGTCACAGATTCAAAATAGTCTCTAAAAGAAGCCGAGGGGAGGTGAGAAGAAATTTTTTCACGCAGCGAGTTGTTTGAATCTGGAACTCATTGCCTGAAAGCGCGGTCGAGGCCGATTTGATAAGAGCCGCACAAACTCGACGGACCGAATGGCCTCTTTGTGCTGTACGTTTCTATGATTTTGTACGAACACATTCTTTTGGAGAATTTTCAAAACCACGTTTGTCGGCGGATAATTAAATAGGAATAAAATGCTATATCAAAAATGCAAGGATTTATTATTATTATTATTAATTGCAGTGTCGAAGCCCTTACAAACGTGCAGAAATTGCCTCTAAAGAAATGGCCCTTGTATTTGAAGCATTGGTCAGTGCAAAAAATAAAATAATTTAAAGTATTTGTTCTGTCATTTTATTTGAATCTAGCATGAATTGGAAAAGTGCCAAATTACCCACACAACCAGAATGGCAGATCTTGGTAGAAGTTAGCTACAAGTAACATTGCACATACAATATCTTAACATCTTTCCCGTGGAGATTACATATACCTTACCGCCAGTTTGTGCGTTTGAATTCCCTCCCCCGATGAACAGCAGGCAATGGTATAAATCCAGGTTAATAATTTAAAAATAAAAACTTTTGCAGCAAACGTGGCAATTTACTGAAGCAATGGTCAGGTTTTTCCTTTCGAGTCACAGGTCGAACAAAAAAGTTCAACTGAAGAGGGGCATAAACCTGGGATAAGAAATCACAAAGATAGCGAGAGATCTGGCCTTACTTTAGATTCATGAGGAACGGGCTTCAAAAGCCCGGAGTTTCAGTACACACTGTGTAAATCAATTCAATACAGAAATGAAGTGAGTCACAGAAATAACGGAGAATATTGTCCCAATATAGCGTATTGGGAAAATAGCCATATCGTCATACAGGGGTCATAATGGCCAACAAACGTAGTTTATGGCACTTTAAAAAACTGTACAGGACACAAGGCAGTGGCGGGGGGGGGGAAAAGCTTTAGTTTCTCTAGTTGGCATTATCAGGCATCCCAAAAGCTAAAGTTAAATAGTACCAAGTGAGGCCATTGCAATTGAGAATCAAGATGATTCTGACTAAATCAACCAGTGTCCATGTATTTGTGGTTAATGCCCCTTTGTATGTAGTGCACTAATTCAGGACAGCAGTGAAATTTGATCACGCACCACAACCAATGGCACAGACAATAGTATGAAAAATAAAGTCAGGGTTAATATCTAGCAGGAATATAAAGCTATATTACTGACACAATCGCCATTACACACTACATGCCCAGTTCTGTAGGATTCTAGGTTGGATTTAGTTTATGTAAGTGACTGCTTGTCATTTTAACATTTGATGAAATAATAAAAAAAAGCTTTAAACAAGTGGCGTTTGTGGTGGACAGTAAATCCAATCGACAATGACCAAAACAATTAGATTGCACAAGGAAAACAAATAACTAGCTTTAGAATAGCTTGTGGCCATGTATAATTACTTTTCATGTTTAAAATTTGCTTAAAGTGTTAAGTCTTCGAAGCAACATTCATTGTATGCGTGCGTGTGTGTGGGATGAGTGTGTGTGTGTGTGTGGGTTTGAGGGGGAAAAAGATGGTGTTGGTTAAAGACTTGCTGACCATTAAAATTATGCCACAGTGAACTCAAAGCCTTGGACAGAGACCAGGACAAATACTATTATCATCCGTTACCCATTAAAATCCTGCTTTTGAACCTTATTTCTCTTGCTCGAGGTCTGCAGATCCCTTTCTGATCTCACATCTGAGTGCACGCAGGAAGAGCAATAAACAGCTTACACACATTAAGAAAAGGGCAGATCAAATGATCTCACCGTGAATGACCAGGAATGAATTGCATGCCATCACTGAAGTAATCAGATACTTCCAATGGGTTAAACCTCGCCATCTAAATGAACGATGTTGGAGAGAAAAGATATCAAAGGCTCTCAACAATTGCACGAGACTTTAGTCTCCGATTAGAATAACATCACAAGAAAAGCCAGAGTGAAGGACGGTCTAAAATCAATGTCGAATTGGTCTACTGAGAAATTAAGTAACTGACTCTGGTCCCTTTTGACGCCAAATTTTGGGATAAACAAACTGCATCTTAAAAATGGGAAAAAGATAGAAAACTCTGGATTAAAACCCATTCTGAACATTCATCCTCAAACCCATAGGACAGGTGGGTGAGATATCAAACGTGATATTAATCTGAGACGCTATCCTGCGTGGAGAGCACTATACAAGTGCAAGTTGTTGTATTCCAGTCCAATACAACAACAATCTGATGTAAACGCTGAAATCAGTATCTACCACTTGTTTCACAATTGTTTCAGCCTTTCTGGAAGCTGGTGTAAGCTCACATCAATACTGAGTTGGAAAATGGTGCAGTTAAACTGGTGAAATGTAAAATGTACCCAACATCAATGGAAGAATTACTCAGTGTGTACTACCACATTCAAAACTCTAGAATTGAAAGTTTTCCTTTTTCAAAAAAATTCCTGTTTAAAAAAAACAATAAACGGGATTGCAAACAAACATTTGCTGGTTTAACGTTTCCTGGATTTGCAGGTATTTTAATAAAGCAAATGCAGAAATAAGGAGTGTAGAGGATTGCAATGACATCTCACTAGGAGGCCAGTTTGGGTACAAGACTAGGGAGACAAGATTGATGTATTGAGAACCATTACCGTGGTGGCATTGGATTGAATAAACAAAGTTTCCGCCCCCTAAATTGCTGTGGATTCTAGTGCAACCGTAGACCTGCTTTTCACTGTTGCTTAATTGAATACTCAGAATATACATGGTGATTGACAGGAAAAAAGTATAAAGATTTCATGCAGACATCAGAGTTTATACATAAATAGAATCCGCCTTCCGGTGGGGGGGGGGGGGGGGGAGAGAAATGTTGACACTCAAGAGAGATGTTGCTTCTCCTTGATTTATAATATCATGGTTGTTGGCTTTTCAAGGAACTTCTTGAACTCTGCCAGCCACTGGGCACCAACCGCTCCGTCCACAACCCGGTGGTCACAGCTCAGAGTCACTGACATCATGTTGGCAACGTCAAACCTGCAGGGTGACAGTGGGCCAACGTTAATAATAATACTAATAATCCTGGCATTTGATGCAGCGCCTTATCACGTCGTTGAGACGCCTCAAAGCACCACATTCCACAGTGGATCGACTATTTTGTGGGCGAACGTAGAAGCCAATTGCGCACAGCAGTGTCCCACAGAATATATTGTAAAGAATAGTCCCGGCTGGACTATTCCTTCTCACTAGTCTCCCCAGCTCCACCGTACACACAATACAATGAATTAAAAACTCCGCTGCCCAGATACTCATTACTTCCCCCCATCACACCTTGCCAGGCTCCACTGGCTTCCAATTATCGAACGGATCGATTTCAAGATCCTCGTAGTCGTTTTCAAATCCCTTAACGCCCTCGCAGCTCCCGACCTCTCTGAATTGCTTAACCCCACTCCACCACCTGCTGCCCCCGCTCTCCCGTTTGTCCCTCGTCCCTTCGACCTTCAGCCACTACACCCCGAAACTCTGGAATGCTCTCCCTCAATCCCTCCGTCTTGTTCCCTCCCTCCTCACTTTCAAATCCCGCCTACGACTTCCTTTTTGATCGTGCTTACGGTCACCTCCCCCTTCCCTGGGCTCAGGGTCAGACTCAGCTACTGTCAAGCTCTCCGGGACGCTACATAAATGCAAATTGTTGTTTTGTTGTTGTAAAATTAATTAACTGTACATTTTTGGGGGTGAAACGTAGAGTCACTTGTGCACAGCAGAGTCCACAAACTGCTGTGGATTGACTGACCAAATTATTAATTTTTTTTCTTATTGAGGATTATTACCCCTGGCAAAAAAAACAATTGACCAACACCCATGTTCCTACTTACTCCTAGTTAAACAGAGGCGTATACAGTAAGGAAACTTGCCTAAGGTTTCGCCCTGCTTGGGAATCGAACCTGGGTCCTCTCTGCAAGGCAAGTGCCCTAACCAATACACTACAGGACTCCACGTTAACGCACATTGAACTCTTTCCAGAGAAACACAGGCAGAATACCAGATGAAAAGAAATGCTGTTGCCCCAGCAGTATTTGGAAGGCCAGAGGATTTGCTTGGTTAAACACAGCTGAACTGCACATACCCACTGACGTAGATACCCAGCAATGATTTATGTGGATAGATACGAGGGGGAAAAAAAAAATCTATAATTGGCCTGGGTATTTTTGAATGAATGATTTATTTCTCAGCCCACCTCACCCAACCTTGACAGCAAATGACATTACATGACATATTTGGAAAATGGGTGGTGGGGGGAGTGAATGGAAATCTCATCCTATCTGCCAGGTGAAACCCCTAGATAATTCCCTCTTCCCTAGCCCAGGGACACTGAAGTCAATTGGAATGTCATAAAGACTACTCCACCAGAGATGAGCTAACTCATCAGACGGGAATTGTAACCTTCCAGTCCGTATGATTTGGTGCAGCAGTATTTTTACCTGCCCTTTACTTCACTGTGCCACAGGAGAAGCCGTGATTATTATTTAACCAAAATACATCAAACCTTTCACAGTTAGGAAAGTGTCCAATTGATTAATTACTCTGCAATTGGCTGCCGCAGTTCGCCAACAAAATAGTCAATTCACTTTACAGTATATTCTGTGAAGCGCTTTGAGACGTAATTAAGACACTATAAGGCACAAGGATTATTATTACATTATTTATCAAATGTACAGTATTGAGCAATAGAGCATTATTTTCAACACTGACGCAATTAATTCCTAGTTTGTGAATACAACTTTGTGTCACACACATTTAATAGTAGTAATTCTTGCATTTGATTTAGAAGCTTATCATGTCGTTGAGACGTCTCAAAGCGCTTCACAGAGTATATTGCAAAGTGAATTGACTATTTATTTTGTGGGTGAAATATGACAGCCAATTACACACAGCAGGGTCCCACAAATAGTTGTGGATTGAACGACAATTTTTTTTTGAGGGATTAATACCCCTGGAAAGTGATCCGCCAATTGACTAACAACCAGGTTTCTACTTACTGCTAGGTAAAGAGAGGCTTGTGTGTGGAGTAAGGAAACTTGCCTAAGATTTTGCCCTGCCCGGGACTCGAACCCGGGTCATCTCGCTTGCAAGGCAAGCGTTCTAACCACTGAACTATAGGACTCCTTGTGTACCTGAGAGGAATGAACTAACAGTTGAAAGGCTAACCTCAGTAGGTACCTACCCTCTCTCATTTTCCGCAGGAAGCAGCCTCTTGTCAGAACCACCAACGGCGAGAATGCAAGCCTGCGGAGGGTTTATGATTGCCGAGAAATTCTTTATGCCAAACATTCCCAGGTTCGAAATTGTAAAAGTGCCACCCTAATAAAGTAGAAAAATAGTGCATCGAGAATTGGTATTCAACATGGAACAATATATTATAGAATGCAACCAATGCTTTCTGGGTACTTGTTCCTCTGCTTTTCGTACCCAAGTGCGAATAATAATTCTTGCAACCAATATAGTGCCTTTTACGCCAAGGGGGCGTCAAAAGAGGTCACACTGGAGCAGAGGGTACTTTGTGGGAGAATGTGGCAGTCAATTTGCACAAAACGACATCCCACAACATCCGTGAAGTGAACAGGCCATTTTATTTGGGGGTATTGTTGGCCAAGCTTGTTTGGATAGCGCCTCGGGATCCTTAACGTCCACCCAAACGGGCAGGCGGGACCTCGGTTTAACATCTCCGACAATGCAACAACCCCCACTGCAGCGTAAGACTATATGAGCTACAAGTCCCGGATGTCTGTCTGTTTTGAACCCACAACCTTCTGACTCAAAGGTGAGCATGCAATCAACTGGGACAGGCTGAAATATAAACAGGGATAGAACCTGAAGCTGGGATTGTATTTATAAGCAGCGACTCTTTACCTGGAATTCGTGAGGCTTCAGTTTCCCTTCTCGAGCTTTTGCAGCTAGAGTTGCCACATCTTTACTGATGGCAACCAGTCCTTTATTGTGTGCGTTAAACACAATGGGAGTAATGAGACCACTTGCGGTGCTCACAGCTACACTGACGTCCACAACATGGTTTCTGGTGGGGAAACGGAGGGAAAGGTTTCCTTCAGTATCGACTGTTTGTTCATACATAAACTCCTCCTGAAAATGGTAACTTGCTTCCTATTAATTGTAGGTGGTGAAAGGTGCATGAGGGAATTAGATCGGCATTTGAAAAGGAAAAAGTTGGCAATAACAATAATATTCCTTGCATTTGATATAGCGCTTTTTACGTCTTCTCGACATCTCAAGGACTCTGCAAGGCTACGGGGAGAGAGCGGGGGGATGGGACTAGTTGGGTAGCTCTTCCAAAGAGCCAGCACAAGCACGTTGGGCCGAATGGCCTCCTTCTGTGCTGTAATATTTTATGATTAAAACCCTTCGAATACTCACTGCCTGATGATGGTGTCCAACCATGAGGAATTTGCTTCAGGTACTTTTAAGCACGACAAAGCTGATGCCTTAATGAGAAAATCGTTCACTGACAGCTTAATGCTTTTCGATTTGTCCTCCTGTTGGTGAGATTGGTGAGACTAATCCAATTTGCCATTTCATCAAACTGTCAAAAAAAAACAATCTTTTTGCGCCTTAGTTAATTGACATTTTCATTGCAGCTTAATTTGTCAGCGAGCGAGTCTTGGAAACCGACCTTGCAAAACAGCAGCAACAAATGACATTGACATAGCGCTCTTCATGTGGGGTAGAGCCTCTCTGGAATTAACAGTGGCGGAGCCTGACGCTGAGTCAGGGAGAGAGGGGAAGTACGGTCAAAGAAGAAGATCTTCAGGTTCAATCTGAACATGTGCAAGGTGGGGGGGCAAGTTGGAGGGATTGGGTTTGGATAGCTTATTGCTAAGTGGTGTCTGCATAGGTGTCTGGATACCTTATTGCTAAATGGATAACAAATGACTCCACATGCAGTGCTTTGGGACTGAAGGTAAAGTTACAGGCTCATGACATAGTGTGGGCTATCCGGAGTTTAAAATCACGTCAGTTATTACAGGACAAAAATCCCCTTTAACTTTTTTTTCTCTCTGAGCAATAACTTTATTGGAGCAGCACTGCACACATTCATAAATTTAACCCCACATTTGATTGATGAGCTCAGGGACGCTGCTGTGAGCAAGGGAAGGGATGAGGTAAATCCCAATGGATTGCTGACTGGTTATAAGCAAAGTAAGCCACTTTCGGTGCCAGAAAGGCAGGAGACTGACAATGTGCCATGCCAGGCGGCAAAAATCCCATGGATAAGAACAAAGGAACAGGAGGAGGCCATTCAGCCCCTCGAGCTTGTTCCAACATTCTATTAGATCATGGATGATCTGTACCTCAGCTCCAATCACCTGCCTTTGCTCATATCCCTGGCAGTCATGCTGACTCTTTGATTAACTCATACTTGTCCAAGTGAGAACAGCGAAACATGCCCTAAAATGGTTCGAGAAAGAGATTGACACAAAAATTGCTACCCAGCTTCCATACCTCATTCAGTTCCTTTCTGAGCTCCAAGACTTTGTCCATGTTGATATCCACAGACAGGTAATAGTGAGGGATCGTCTGCTTAGACAGCACAAGCCGCTGAGCTATAACCTAAGGTAAAGGACAAACAGCGTAAGTGGCGACTCTCTAATGCAGATAAGAAATGCTCTTCCCATTTTGTAAGCTGGTAGTGATTCCGTCACTATTTTTTTTTAAACACACACCCACACCCCCCCCCACACACCTTCACCACCCACCTCCATTCCCCCGCCATCCCCCCACCCACACACACCCACGCGCCCCACACACCTTTCGTATGTTGCTAATGGGGACATCTGTGAAGGTGCCAGGCGGCAGTGCTGCCATCAGAGGTAGAGGGGCTGCAACTACTGGGGTCTAACAGAAATATATACATGGATAAGCATTAATATTGATTGTTTTTGAATATTGGAATTTCGCCTTAAATGTGCGTCTCTGAATTACAGTCAATAAAAATCAATAGAAACTTCCAAATCACTCAAATCATGCCAACGTCTTTCAAAATAACGTGATACGGCGCTATATCAAAGGCAAGGATTATTATTATTATTAAACTCTATATTATATATTTGTCATTTTAATATTCTCTGATCTCAAAATCAGCGATGGTTGCGGATTTTTGGTTTCGAACAAACTCACTGGTGATATCTTCGGAGGCACAAAAGATTCAATGTCTTTCCTCCTGATTTGACCATCGGGCCCAGTACCTGGAGGGGCAACCACAAACAGCATCAAATTCTGAACAAGAACCGTAGGAAATAGAGGTGTTCAAAATTATGAGGGTTTTTGATAAGAGTAGATAGGGAGAAACTGTTTCCACTGGTGGGTGGGTCGGTAACCAGAGGACACAGGTTTAAGATAATTAAATTTGAGGCATCTTTCTGACGTGAAGTGCGCTATATACAAGTATAATTGTCAAAAGAACCAGAGGGGAGACAAGGAGAAATTATTTTACCCAGAGAGTTGTTAAGATCTGGAATGCACTGCCTGAAGGGGTGGTGGGAGCAACAACGAATGACATTTACACAATGCCTTTCATGTTGAGAGGACATCCCAAGGCGCTGGACAGTCAGTGATTTGGCCCCGAGTAGGGGGTTGAGATTGGAGGGTTGCATGCAGGGAGGATAGGGGGGTGGCCAAAGGCACAGTCGAAGAGGAAGGCCTTGAGATGGGTCTTGAAGGAGGCGGGTGGGGGTTGGGTAGAGCCAGGCGAAGGAGTTCCAATCCAATCAATCCCGGGTGGGGGACGTGGAGCAGGCTGGAGCCTGCTGGGCGGAGGAAGGGGACAGGTTCATATGACATTAGCAGGTCACAGAGGATGAGGTTTTGAATTCTATCCTCTGGGGGATGGGGAGCCAGTAGAGCTGGGCGAGGATGGGTGGGGTTGATGGGGTCACAGAGTCTGGTGCAGGAGAGAACACCAGCTGCAGAGTTTTGGATGATCTGCAGCTTGTGGAGGGAAGAGTTGGGGAGGCCGACAAGCAGGGAGTTGACGTAGTCGAGCCTAGATGTAATAAATGCATGGATGAGGGTTTCAGTGGCCTGAAGGGAGAGGCAGTGGCGGAGTCCGGCGATGCTGAGGTGGGTTGGAACCAGAGGGGAGATAAGGAGAAATTATTTTTATTTTGTCCCCCACAGAGAGATGTTACGATCTGGAACGCACTGCCTGAAAGGGTCGGTGGAAACAGATTCAATAACAACTTTCAAAAGGGAATTGGATAGGTACTTGAAAAGGAACAATTTGCAGAGCTGTGGGTTGAGAATGGAACTAGTCGGTAAACTCTTTCAAAGAGCCGGCACAGGCATGATGGGCTGAATGGCCTACTTCTGCGCTGTAAAATTCTATGATTTCCATGAAATGAACTCAGTCGAGTGATGAGAATACCACATGTAGATTAATATTGCTAAAGGTTACCTTTGACTTGTTTGAGGTCGATGCCCTTTTCAGCTGCCAGTTTCTTGGCCAGCGGACTGGCAAACATCCGGCCTTGGGAATCCACAGCAGAGGCATGCCTGGCTGGGAGGGCGGCTGCAGCTGGAGAAAGGGCAGCCGGAGCTGTGATAGGTTGAGGTGTCGGAGAGGCAATCTGCAATGGATTGAAAAGGATTGTACACAGGTTCCTGTTTGCTGATGCTCAGCCAATATCTCCTCTCTCAGGAGGAGGCCATTCACCCCCTCGAGCCTGTTCCATTATTCTATTAGAACTCCAAACACCCGCCCTTGCCCCATATCCCTTGATACCCTGATCTAAGAAAAATGTATCAACCTCCATCTTGAAAATGTGAATGGGTTCCAGCTATAATCCACAGCCTTTTAGGGGAGAGAGTTCCATATTTCCATACTCCTTGTGTGAAAAAATGCTTCCTGATTGCACTCCTAAATAGCCTAGCTCTAATTTTAAGATTATGCCCCCATGTTCTGGATTCCCCCAGTCAAAAAGTGGGCGAGGTAGTGGAAGGTGACATGAGCCGGTCAAACTGAATGCTAGATTTGAGTCAGCACCTTTGGGGTAGAAATTTGGAGGACAAATAGGAAATAAAAGGGCTTTTAAATGTCACTAATGTTGTGTGACAAATAAGCACACTTTCTCAGACACCAATTAATTGCCTACAAATTATACAGTTTGGGCTCAATGGGGAAAAAAAACCTTTGGTGAATGTTTCGCTCAATGTATTGGTGCCTTTATTAGAAAAATTCTTCCACTTTATGAGTTCGCTAGAATTATCAAAAAGGTAGTTGGCATGAAACCGCAGGGCAATTCACAAAGCCTCAGTACAATACTATGTTCTGCAACTAGTGTGCTTCAATTGTAAACGTGCGTGTATGAGCATCTGAGTGCACGAGTGTGTTTGAGTGCGCGTGTGTGCGAGCGTGTATTTGAGTGTGAGCGTGCCTGATATATAACAAATATCCTCCTGCAATACTTTATATACTGAAGTTGCTAAACAAATGAGAAACCATTACAAGGTTCTGTGGCACGAACTGTGGATATAAAGTGCCACCTACTGTAGCTGGAGATGGTGATTGTGGCACGATATCAGCAACTCCAGTTTCCACATAATCAGCGAACGTCGAGATATCGGATTTCTTCTCTACGATGATGCACAGCGGCGTTCCCAGAGGGACATCCCTCGTCCCCTCAGCTATCAGGATCTTGGCCAAATAGCCTTCCTCTTGTACTTCAAAACCTAGGATTGTTCACCCACAAAACAGTCAATTCAGTTTACACTATATCCTGCAAAGTGCTTGGCAACGTCTTAACAACATGATAGGTGCTAAATCAAATGCAAGGATTATTATTATTAGAGTACACAACACAGGTGATTTCTCTGTAACAAAGCACTACAGCAGATCTGAAGTCTACACATTCTGTTCTCAAGTAGCTGTCATCAGAGCTCTCCGTTTGGTCAAAGTCCATCATAACCACCAGGCTGAGAAAGATCTAAACCCTAATTTCTCAGAGGAACACCCACTGAATTATTCAGAAATGAGCAGCTTGTCCTTTGATAATGGTTGAAGTATCAGCCACTTACCACCCTGACAGTTACAGTAAACCGTAGTGAGGCAGACTGCATTTTTCTTCTTCCCATTTAAACACTTGGTCAAGTCTTGGCACTTTTTTCTCGGTCAGTTGGGTGTGTGACACACGTCTGACCCATCACATGGTTAAGAGCTGTAATGAAAACACCTACACGCGGATTTTCCCCGTGTCTAAAATGGAACAGGACAGTGTCCCTGGAGGGATGCAACCTGCTTTATGACATCCGCAGAGTTTCAGGCACAGGTAGACGAGAGGAGCCGAGAAGATACACTGGGGGGTAACTTCTGGAGTCTATGCAGCTAAACTGCACAGCTTGCTATTGCATTGTCTGGCTTCCCGCTACTTGCCAGAAAATGTTCTTGAGAAACTTGGGTTTGATTCCTGGCCGGGCAAAATGTTGGCCAAGTTTCCTTACTCCACACGTTTGCCTTAGCAGTAAGTAGGAACCCGCTTGTTAGTCGATTGGCCGATCGTTTTTCCGGGGGCTAATAATTTGATAAAAAAAGAAATAATAATTTGATCACTCAATCCATGACTGTTTGTGGGACGCTGCTGTGTGGAATTGGCTGTGTTAGGCCCACAAAATAGAGTCAATTCACTTTACAGTATATTCTGTGAAGCGTTTTGAGACGTCTTGAAAAATGCAAGGATTATTATGATCACTTGTCTCTGCTTTTAACATATTCTGATCTCAGGCCATAGACCATGTGATAAATTTAGTTGTAGAAGAGACAACTTAGCAATACTTTATAGAGTGTAACAAACTGAGGAAACCAGGATGAATTCATGTTCAATTAAGGATTGGATAAATGGTGTTCGAAGAGCAAGACTCAACACACAACAGCGAAAGAATTAAACGAGTAGTGTGTGTTGAGCAACGCTCACCTATTGTTGCTTTGTCGGTTTCTATCTCTGCCAGCAAGTCGCCTTCTTTCAACTTCTCCCCAACTTTCTTCTCCCAGCGTTGGACAGTGCCCACCGTCATTGTGGGAGAGAGCGCGGGTAGAGTAATCTGCAACACACACTCGCAACCTTCATCATCACCACCACCACCAAGTTGCATTTACGAAGCGCTGTTCATGTAAAATAATGTCTTGGGAGTGTTTTGCAGTGATGGGCATGTACTCTGAACAGGGTGGGCTGGGGACGGTGGTGGTGGGAGAAACAAAGAGGGAGAGCACAGAGTGGGAGGTGACCAAAGGCCAAGTCGAAGAACTAAGTTTTTAAATGGAGTTTGAAGACCAATAGAGAGGGGGATGAGATGGAGACTCTACCCAGTCTGAAGGAGTAGATCAGCCTGTAAATTCTCAATCCACAACTAGTTGAGGACGCTGCTGTGCGCAATTGGCTGCCACGCTTCGCCCACAAAATACACAGTCACTACACTTTACAATATATTCTGTGAAGCGCTTTGAGATGTTGCAACGCTAAATTAGGCGCTGTATCAAATCATAGAATCATAGAATTATACAGCCCAGAGGGAGGCCATTCGGCCCATCGTGTCTGTGCTGCTCTTTAAAAAGAGCTTCCAAATCAACCCCACTCCCCCGCTCTCTCCCCATAGCCCTGATCAACCCCACTCCCCCGCACTCTCCCCATAGCCCTGATCAACCCCAATCCCCCGCTCTCCCCATAGCCCTGATCAACCCCACTCCCCCGCTCTCTCCCCATAGCCCTGAACAACCCCACTCCCCCGCTCTCTCCCCATAGCCCTGATCAACCCCACTCCCCCACTCTCTCCCCATAGCCCTGATCAGGGAGCGGCGCCAGGACAGCGCGGGGAGGAGCTGGGCCTACCTCTCAGGTATTTAACCTCGACGCGGGAGGGAGTGCAGCCAGTGTGCAGGGTATGGGGCTGAGGAGGGAACGGGTTGGGGCGGAGCGGGGGAACCGCTGACGTCATAGTTGTAGTTTTCAGAAGTGTGCGCGCGCAACAAAGAAAAATAAAATAAAAATCCTCTGCGCCCCCCCCCCCAGGGCTCACATCAGGGCCCCCCATGGTCCTGTTAGGTTGGCTGCCCCAGCCCCAGCCTATGGAATAATGTGTCCATCCACCTGACCGCTCGCTCCCGGTCCCCGCGTGCGCAATATGGCTGCCGCTATGACCCTCACCCCCTCACCCCCTCCTCCCTCCTCTCTACCCCAAACCCTCCCCCCTCTGCATCTCTCCCGCTCTCTCCTCCTCTCTCTCCGTCCCTCTCGCCTTCTATCCCCACTTGACCCTCCCACCACCTCCCTCTGTTCCAGCCTGGGAATCCTCCGCCGGGCTCACCGTGGCACTCGGCGTTGGCTGTCCAGCAGCAGCCACACCGACTGCCCCATTCCCCACCACACTCGCCACCCCCCCCGGACACAGACCCGGGAAGCCAACCTCTCCTCCCTTATCCCCATTTCCCCCACCCCTGCCTCACAACCGGGACCCCCACCCCTCCCCACACACCCTTCGCTCCATCCACATCGGACTACAAAACGTCCGCTCCCTCTGTAACAAGGCCCTGGTCATCAACGATCTCATCCTTGATGAGAACGTTGATATCATGGCCTTAACGGAAACCTGGCTCACCCCAGGCGACACCTTCCCCCTCACGGAGGCCACGCCACCCGGCTACACCTCCCACCACATCCCTCGCCCCAACCGCCGTGGCGGTGGTGTTGCCCTTATCTCAAGGACACCACTTGCTGTATCCCCGTACTCCTCTGGCTCTTTCCCCTCTTTTGAGCACCTCACCCTCTCCCTTAAAATCCTCCTCCTCTACCGGCCCCTAAAGCCTCTCCCACCTTTATCTCTGATATCTCAACACTTCTCACATCTCTCTGCCTCTGCTCTGATCGCCTCATCATCCTGGGCGACTTTAACCTGCACTTCACCCCCTCCTGCTCCATCTCCTCAGACTTCTCTTCCCTGCTCTCCTCGCTCAACCTCTCCCTCCACATCAACTCCCCCACTCACAGTCACGGCCACCCACTCGACTTGGTGATCACCCGGGGCCTCAGTGTCTCGGATGTCACTATCACCGACAAGGCCATCTCCGACCACCACTTCATCTCCTTCACCACCTCCACCCCCCTCCCCACCTCCACCAGACCCACCACCATCTTCTACCGCCCCTGGAAGAAGTTACCCCCTCAATCCCTAACCTCTGCCTTGGAGTCCTCTGAACTCCTCTCCCTCTGGCCTTCAACCCTCACTGACCCCTCTTCTGCTCTCACCCTCCTCCACAACACCCTCTCCTCCACACTCGACACTCTGCCCCTATCACCTCCCGTACTGTCTCCTACTCTCGCTCCTCCCCTGGTTCACCACCCACCTCCGCTCACTGAAGAGCCAGGTGCGGGCCGCTGAACGCACCTGTGTCAAATCTGGCCTAACGGTCCACCGACAAATCTGGCTGGACCTCCTCAAAATCTACCGCTCCACTCTAGCCTCGGCCAAGTCGTCCTTCTACTCCAGGATAATCCTGGAGGCGAAGGACAACCCCAGGCTACTGTTCCTACCACATCCCAACTCCTCCGTCCCCCCGCCACCCCGCGCAGGTCATCTCCTCCAACCTTCACTGCGAGGAGATGCTGGATTTCCTTGAATCCAAGATCAAGGGAATTCGCTCCGCGGTCACTTCCCCTCCAACATCCACCCACCACCCACCCCTTCCCTCCCACACTCCGACTCCTACCCATCCTCCCCTACACACCTTCGTACCCGTTTCCCCACCCTCTGTCACCAAACTCATCCTATCCCTGAAACCCACCACCTGCTCCCTTGACCCCATCCCCACTCCACTCCTTATCTCCCAGCTCCACCTCCTTGCCCCACATATCACAGACATCGTCAACCTGTCCCTCTCCTCTGGCTCTATTCCCATTCCCTTAAAAACTGCCACCATCACTCCCACCTTAAAAAACCCTCCCTTGATGCGTCGCAGCTATCAAGCTACCGGCCCATCTCCAACCTCCCCTTCCTGTCCAAGGTCCTGGAACGAGTTGTCGCCTCCCAGCTGCGCTCTTTCCTCTCCACCCTTTCACTATTCGAACCCCTTCAGTCGGGTTTCCGTGCTGCCCATAGCACAGAAACTGCCCTGGTCAAGGTCACCAATGACATCCTGACCATCTGTGACCAGGGCTCCCTCTGCCTCCTCGTCCTCCTCGACCTATCGGCAGCATTCGATACGGTCGACCACGCTATCCTCCTCCACCGCTTGTCCTCCCACCTAAACCTTCAAGGCCCTGTCCTTGAGTGGTTTAGGTCGTACCTCTCCCACCGTCTTCACTTTGTCTCCACAAATGGTTTTTCCTCCGGCCCCCGCACTGTCTCGTGCGGTGTCCCTCAGGGCTCTGTCCTCGGTCCCCTCCTCTTCACCCTCTATATGCTCCCCCTTGGTGACATCATCCGCAGACATGGGGTTAACTTCCACATGTATGCGGATGACACCCAACTCTACCTTTCCTCCTCTACCCTCAACTCCACGACCCCCGATGTCCTGACAGCTGCCTGTCCGACATCGAGTCCTGGACGAGAGACAACTTTCTTCAGCTCAACGTGCGCAAAACTGAGGCCCTCCTGATTGGCTTACGTCAGCGCCTCCGCACCTCAGGCGCTGACAGCATCAGCATCCAAGGCTGCACTCTCCACCTCTCAAAGCCATCAGGAACCTCGGGGTTCTGTTCGACCCTGAGCTGTCCTTTCTCCCTCATATCCGCGCCACAACTGGCACCGCCTTCCATCACCTCCGGAATGTCGCCAGACTACGGCACTACCTCACCCCTCACGCTGCTGAAACTCTGGTCCACGCCTTTATCACCTCAAGGCTGGACTATGGGAACTCTCTCCTCGCCGGCCTTCCCGGCCCTCCCTCCACACTGCAGGTCATTCAGAACTCTGCAGCTCGTGTACTGTCCCGCACCAGGCACCGACCACATCACTCCCACCCTCACCGTCGCTCACCTCCACTGCTCCCCATCCCCCAGAGGATCGAATTCAAGATCCTCATCCTCACCTACAAGGCCATTCACGGCCTCCCTCCCTCCTACCTCTCCGACCTACTATCCCCCTACCTACCTGCCCGTACCCTCCGTTCCTCTGGCTCCGGTCTGCTCCACATCCCCCGCCCCAACCGCCCTACCATCGGTGGCCGGGCCTTCAGCCTCTCAGCCCCGAGGCTCTGGAACTCCATCCCCCAGTGCCTTCGCCGCCTCCTCCCTTTCCTCCTTCAAGGCCGGTCTCAAGACCTTTCTCTTTGACCGAGCCTTCAGCTCCCCTCTCGACTCTCTACCCCCTCCTCGCTCCCTCCCTTCCCTCCCCTCACCCTGACCATTTCCCCAATGCTCGGGTCCTGATCCAACTGTACAGTGCCTTGGGACGTCCTGACGTGAAAGGCGCTCAATAAATGGAATCTTGTTGTTGTTGTTGTTGATCAACCCTACTCCTCCGCTCTCCCCCCAGAGCCCTGATCAATCCCACTCCCCCCCTCAGAGCGCTGCAAACTTGTTCTCCCCAAATAATTATCAACTTCTCTCTTAAAAGTTATTATGGAATCGGTTCCCATCAGCCTTTCAGGTAATGCATTCCAGATCCCAACAACTCGCTGTGTGAAAACATTTCTCCTCCCCTTCCCTCCCCTCTGTTTCTTTTAACAACTATTTTAAATCGATGTCCTCGGGTTACCGACCCCCCCCGCCCCGCGGGAATATTTTCTCCTTCTTCACCCTATCGAATCCCCTCATCATTTTGAAAACTTCTATCAAGTCTCCTCTTAACCTTCTCTGCTCTGAGGAAAATAATCCCAGTTTCTCTCGCCTCTCCTGATAATTGAAGTCCCTCATTCCTAGTACTATCCTGGTCAATCTCCTTTGCACCTTCTCCAATGCCTTGATACCTTTCCTAAAGTGTGGGGTCCAGAACTGAACACAGTCTCTAACTGAGGTTTAACCAGTGTTTCATGAAGGTTTATCATAAATGCAACGACTATTAACATTGTTATTTCAATACATTTCCTAGGTGTGGTATAATCCAATATAAAAGTAATACAAAGAGGAGCAGTTTAGGAACCAAGTTTTGCGGAAATATAATCTGAAGCTTCAAAATAGTAAATTAGTCTTACTGTAGGGAGTGTGAACTGAGCGGAAATATAATCTGAAGCTACGAAATTAATTCCCACTTTGCATCCATTTAACCTTCAGCTTGCTCGATTTAATGTTTGCAAAAAAATTTGGTTCTCTGTTGATACGGAGACCCTGAACAGCCGTTCACATCTGTTAACTTCAGTGAGAGAAACCATTTTGATTTAGTCGCTTGATTCAAAACGGGTAATTTTGTACACCCCAATTTTTTTCTCTCTCCCTTTGCTTACCTTCAGGTGACTAGGGTAGGAACTGCCTGGAGGCTTGGCTGTGGGGGGAGGAGTACTCGGGGGGGTGGGCCCTGCTGAGGGGGCAGAGACTGCGGCTGCAGCATCGCTGGCAGTGTAATCCTGAAAAGCTGCGATGTGCTCAGGCCTGGGGAATAAGAGGAACAGCACCTGCTTAGGTTTCGCCCACAAAACACACTTTACAACCCAATAAAGTAGTCGTGAACATCCCCCAGTTTGAGCTGAATTTCGCCACAAAATGTACAGTCAATTCACTTTACAGTATATTCTGTGATTGTGTTTGAGACGTCTCAACAACATGATAAGGTGCTGTAGCAAATGCAAGATTATTATTATTAGCTGATCTCAGGGAGGGAGGCTAATAATTGGCCTCTGGCCGGGGTTAGAAATGAGCCAGGCTTTCAACGGGACAGAGATAGAATGTTAGTTCTTTGCGCTCAAATCCCTTTGTGGTCTCTCCCCATCCCACCTCTGCGACTTCCTCCTCCTCCAACCTTATTGACCACCCCCCCCACCGCCCCCACCTCCAACCAGCTAACACTGACCTGCTTTGTGTCCCTGCCTACCCATCCCACCATTGGTGGGTGAGATTTCAACCATTCTGCCCCCGATTACTGGAACACCATCCTGGAGTCCCTCCGCCTCACCCCCTCCATCCCCACCTTTAAAGCTGACCTTAAGAACTTTCTTTTCAACGGGCCCCCATTTCCACAGCTACCCTACTCCGAGCTCCTAATCGCCTCTGTGAAGTGCTTTCAAACAGCCTCCCGACACGAAAGGTGCTGTATAACTATAAAAATGTTGTTCTTTAAAAGTTTGCCCTGCTTACTTTTCAACTGTGATGCAGATAACTGTACCAAGGGGCACATCCCGAGTCCCTGCTGGTATCAGGATTTTTGCCATGTAGCATTCCTCCAGACACTCAAAGCCAACTGTTGCTTTGTCAGTTTCCACCTGTTGAAAAAGGATAGACTTTACCACTGCACAAATACATCCTCAGTAATTGAGAACCGCCCTGCGATCTGTCCTGCAAAAATGACAGTATCAAGTTCAATGTTACTAGAACTTTCCCACAATTAAAGGAGCCAACAGGCATTCTGGCAATATTTTACAGAAATAAGCAACTACTTCTATTTTACAATAGAATATTTTACGATAGAATATTTTACGATAGAATATTTTACGATACTCATTTGCAATTAACACAACTCTCTTGTTAAACCTTTTGACAAGAAGCATAGATTATCTTGGAATGGTTACAGTGCGGCTGAACTTCTCAGGCCGCTCAAACAATCAGTGCATCCAGCCAGTACTCTTACAATGTAGTTATTCATGCACTCAGTGACGCTGCCCCACTTAAGGGTGCTAAATAAATGTAAATTGTCATCGTTGTTGGGTGAATCTATTCTGTTCTGGCGACATTTTGAGAACCACATTTAATATGGCAAGTTGATTTGAAGGAGCCAGAAAGATTTAATGGTTACCTTGGCTACTATATTTTTCACCCATAAAATATACAATATATTCTGTGAAGCTCTTTGAAATGTCTTGAAGACGCGATAAGGCACTATATCCTGTAGCAATACAGCGTGGCGTCTGTAGCTCAGCGAGAGGACCTGGGTTTGATTCCCGGCCGGGTGGAACCTTGGGCAAGTTTCCTTACTCCACACACCTGATAATCCCTCGTGAAAAAATTAATAAATTGGTCACTTCAATCCATGACTGTTTGTGGGACAGATGCTGCTGTGCGCAATTGGCTGCCGTGTTTCGTCCGTACATATACAGTCAATTCGCTTTACAATATATTGTGTGAAGCGCTTTGAGACGTCTAGAAGACATGGAAAGTGCTATATCAAATGCAAGGATTATTATTATTATTAAATGCAAGGATTTTTACTCGAGCAGCTGCCAAACAAGTTTCAGCCATAGAAAAGAACATCCAATTCTGAGCTGCACAGACTTCTGCTCAGGAAACATCCTCCAGTGCATATAAAACAGGGTATCACAGTACCTCAGCTATCAAGTCTCCCTCATTTATCTTTTCTCCTTCCTCCTTCTCCCACCGAGCTATAGTCCCCATCTGCATTGTGGGCGACAGAGCTGGCAATGGCACCTATGACCAGAGAAGTAACAATGACAGTCAATTATATTTTCTTTGTCCTTGTGATACAGTAACACAGTAATAGATAGAGGGTTAGATGTCAAAATACATACATACATATATACATCAACTAGTGCCATGACAATGCTGGTTTACTAATGATTATTTTTTACAACTTTCCATCATGTGAGAGGAGCAACAGGAGAAAATATAAACTCTAAAAAGAGTTTAAAGGTTTAAAGAGTTTAAAATTAATACTGGATCGTGTCGCCCCCGGACATGCGTTATACCTGTAACAGTAAATAAAACTTTATAGCACATCACTAACAAGTTTGCAAGAATCAAGTATGGAAAGAAAAGAGTTCAGGATAAAAGAGGACCGCGTAGAGGCAGTGAACTTTTCTAGGCCTTAGTCTCCTGTAAAATTCAAACGCTACTTGATAATGACAATTTTCTTTGCTGTAAGGAAACAAAGCTACTGTGCTCAGCACCTCTCCATCAATACCGATCAGCAGCTTGCTGCTTTCTGTCAAAGGATGTGTCCAGCTACTCAATGCACCAAGCCAGCACGACAATGTACATAGTGTTCACAAAATCCTGTTACCAACACCACACCAACGTGTTTTTTTTCTTACAATTAAGCTTTATTTCTGTTGCAGATGAGTCGTGTTTAGCAATGTCTGATGTAACTTCCTTCTCACTCCATCCATGTTACATTAAATAAATTAACAATAATTCAGTTTACAGTATATTCTGTGAAGCACTTTGAGAAGTCTCGAAGACGTGATAAGGTGCTATATCAAAAAGAAGCAAGGATTATTATGATTAAACACTTGCACTGAATACAATTAAGCACTTCTAAATAAAACTCTCATCATTCTTTCAGTTGTTGGTCAGTGAACTGTATAAAAAAAGCATGGGGTAAGAGGACTTTGGAAATATTTGGAAGATTTGGGGTGATTTAATTTAATGGTAGACAATTCATGTGCACATGACCATGACCACAGGTTGCTCTTACACTGGACATCCTTGACATCTCTAAAAGCAAATAAAACTTTATAGCACATCACTGAACAAATCTGTATATAAAAAAAATCAATTCCACATAGAAATTAAGTAAATGATGTATTTCAATGTTGAATTCAACATACATATTGAAGACAAAAACAGAAGTCGCTGGGAACACTCAGCATGGACCTGAAACGTGGACTCACTTTCCTTTCTCCATAGATGCTGCCTGACCTGCTCAGCGCTCCCAGCGACGTCTGTTTTTGTTTCAGATTTCCAGTATCTAACAGTATTTTGCGTTTTGTTTATACATATTGAAGAGTTGAACACTTTGAAGGTTCGAAGACTTAAGCTCGCAACACAGACCAAGATCCACAGCAGTACCCAGGGTGGTTGAGAGGTTTGTCAGATGAGAATATCTCGGCGTCTTCTAGTAATTCTGACAGGTGCTATACATCCATCCAACTCCCATTCCCTAAGCTCTTTCCATGTGCCCTCTAATACCCTTCCTCCACATGTGCTTGTGCAATTCTCATTCTCTTTTAAATGTCGCCAATTGACTCTGCTCTAACCTCAGTCCACACCCTGACAACAGCCTGGGAGACTTTCTTCCAAAACTTCTCCTATTTACTCCCTAGTCACGATCTTGAATTCATGCCCTCTGGTTCTCGAATTTTATACCAGTGGAACAAGTTTTTTCATGATTAATTCTTCCCTTATCCTAATATGTCTATCATATCACTCTTCAACCTTTCCACTTCAACACGAACAATCCTAACCTCTCTAGCCTCATGGTTATATCGAGGTTTCGGATGAAAATGGCCCATCAGCATATTTCATTGCATCCTTCCAGAATCCACACCCCATCATCCTCCCAATAAAGAATCAGCATTTTTAAAAAAAAAAACAAGTTTCAGTGTCCTGGCTACAACCACTCTGCCTGGGAATCTTTTTCTGGTCATATAATAATAATCCTTGCATTTGATATAGCGCTTTTCACGTCTTCGAGACATCTCAAATAGCTTCACAGAATATACTGTAAAGTGAATTGACTGTATATGTGTGGGCGAAATGCGGAAACCAATTGTGCACAGCAGCGTTCCACAGACAGTGGTGGATTGAGTGACCAAATAATTTTTTTTCTTGAGGGATTTTTATCAGGCGTGTGGAGTAAGGAAACTTGCCCAAGGTTTGCCCAGGCGTGAATCGAACCTCTCGCTTGTGAGGCGAGTGCTCAAACCACTGAACTGCAGGTCTCCACAGGACTTTTCAGTGAGTAAGTTTCTCCTCCTCACTGAAAAGATCCCACCTTCCCAGTGTCTGTCCTGAAATTGCCCTTTGCAACTCTAATTGTTCTGGGTTGACTTTATCAATCCTGTATACCTCTACAAGGTTGTCTCCTTGCGAGAGCGAAGGGCTCTTGGCTTCTCTGATCGTTGTTCAGAGCTCATTCCTCAGACAGTGGATCATCCTCTCCACTCAGGCAGCCCCATTATTTCACAGAGACCAGAGCTGATATGAGACAGCAGGTGAGGTCTGACCAGAAACAGACACGGTGTGCACCAAGTGCAGTCTGATCGTCACTGAATGTCTCAGTGCTTCGCAGGATTCACAAGCCTTAAAGAGGTATGGGGAAAGCAGGTCGGTGGGATTGAAAGAAGAGCTTGCTGTTAAGATTCCGAGACACCATCCTGCGTGAAAAGTGCTATATAAATGCAAGTTGTTGTTGGTGATAGCCGTCACGCATCAAACAATAAATTATATTTATACAATGTCTTTCATGTCAGGAGGAGGTCCCAAGGCCCTGGAGAGTTGAGGGTTTCCACCCAAGCTGGGGGTTGGAGTCATTAGGGATGGAGCGAGTGGGAAGATGTCCAAAGGCAAAAGTCAAAGAGGAAGGTCTTGAGACAGGCTTTGAAGGAGGCAAAGGACAGGGCTCCTTCTGTGTTGGAGTTTGAACGATTTAACGCATGACGCGGTTTGTGTGAAGCGCTCCGAAATGGTGCCGCTGTGAAGGCCGCTATATAAAGACAAGTTGTTTTTGTGGGACACCTACAAAATATATATTCAATTCTCTTCACGGTATATCCTGAGACGCCTCGAAGATGAGATAAGGTACTGTACAAAATGCAAGGATTATTATTATTTATTATAATAATAATCATCTAAATCATATATGAACCCGAGTCCCATTCGGTCACTTAAATCGATGGCTGTTGTGCGCAATCAGCTGCTGCGTTTCACCCACAAATATACAGTCAATTCACTTGGCAGTATATTCTGTGAAGCGCTTTGAGACCTCTTGAAGACGTGATAAGTGCCATATCAAATGCAACGATTATTATTTATTATTATTAAAACCACTCAAGATTTCTTTGCACAAGTCATATCAATCTTCTCCTGACGCACATTGCAACACAAAATACACAGTGACTCCACTTTACAGTGTCCCCTGTGAAGCGCATTGAGATGTCGTGACGATGTGATAACAACAACAACAAATTACACTTGTATCAACAACAACAACAAATCCCCGGCACTCCCCTCCCTCCCTCTCCGACCTCCTCACTCCCCAATCCACCACCCGGTCAGCGCCTCCGCTCGACCGGCCCCGGCCTCCTGCTCGTCCCCCGCGCCCTCCGCCCCCACCATTGGAGGTCGTTCTCTCAGCCACTGCGCCCCGAATCTCTGGAATGCTCTCCCTCGGACTCTCCGCCGCACCCCACCGCCCCCTCTCCCCTTCCTCCACGTCCCGCTTGAAAAGCCTTCTGTTCGACCCCCCCCCACCCCCGCCCCCCGGCTCGGAGTCAGGCTCCGCCCCTGTTAAGCGCTCTGTGACGCTGCCCTGCGCTGGGGCGGGGGGGGCGGCACTGGGTAAGTGCAAGTTGTCGCCACCGTTGTATCGCGCCCTTCACATCGGAAAAGACGTCCCAATCCCCGTCCCCCCCCCACCCCCATCCCCCCCCCACCCCATCCCCCCCCCACCCCCGTCCCCCTCTCTCGCTCTCTCTGTGCCCCTCCTCCCCGCCCTGAGGTCACTGAGGAGCGGTGCGGTGCGGGGGGGGGGGGGGGGGTGAGGCACTATGTCAAGTGCGAGGATTATTATTATTGTTATTAATAGTGTTATATTATCGGAGCGGAGGGGCCTGGGAAGGCCAGACTGGACCAGACTAGGCCCAGGCCTCGGGTTGTCCTGCCTCCTGACCCCCCCACTCCACCCCCCAGAGCCCCCTGAAGCTCACCAGCTGGTGCGGGGCAAACTGTACCATCTCCTGGCCGAGGCCGCGGGGCCCTGCAGCCCCGCTCTGTGCAGCCACAGCTGCCGTGTAGGCCTCAGGCCTCCCGGGGCGGCTGTCCTGCTCCTGCAGCCGGTCACCGAGTAGCGGCGCCGGGCCTGACAGCTCACCCCGCGGTACCGGCCTCTCAGCAACGACTGGCCCACGCACTGCCTCAGCCTGGCCGCCTGGCGCAGCATGTTTGCCTCTGGCCCTGGGCCTGAGCCTCGGCCTGGCCTGGCGCGGTGTCTCGGCTCTCGCTTCTCCTCAGTGACCTCCAGGCGGAGGTGACAAACACAGAAGGAGGGAGAGAGGGTCGCAGGTTGTTAGGCGGGTGGGCGGATGCAGCGGCGGCGGAAGTGACGGAGTGGCGCAGCGGGTAGCGCGCCCGCCCCCGGGGCCAGAGAGCGACTGAGAGTCGGACAGCGGTACGAATCTCACCCTCACCCGAGACCCACTCACACTGCCCCCAACCCAGTGACACACTGCCCAGTGACACTCACACTCACAGCCCTGACCCTATGGGGCTCTCCCTGTCAGATCGCACCTGAAGACTTTCCTCTCTGACTGTGTCCTACTCCCCACTCCCCCCCCACTCCCACCGCGCTCCCCCCCCCCACTCCCCCCCCACTCCCACCGCGCTCCCCCCCCCCACGCTCCCCCCCCCCACTCCCCCCCCACTCCCACCGCGCTCCCCCTCCACGCTCCCCCCCCCACTCCCCCCCCACTCCCACCGCGCTCCCCCCTCCACGCTCCCCCCCCCACTCCCCCCCCACTCCCACCGCGCTCCCCCCCTCCACGCTCCCCCCCCCACTCCCCCCCCACTCCCACCGCGCTCCCCCCCCCACGCTCCCCCCCCCCACTCCCCCCCACTCCCACCGCGCTCCCCCCCACGCTCCCCCCCCACTCCCCCCCCCACTCCCACCGCGCTCCCCCCACGCCCCCCCACGCTCCCCCCCCCACGCTCCCCCCCCCACGCTCCCCCCCCCCCACGCTCCCCCCCCCACTTCCACCACGCTCCCCCCCCCACTCCCCCCCCCCACTTCCACCGCGCTCCCCCCCCACTCCCCCCCCCACTCCACCGCGCTCCCCCCCCCACTCCCACCCCACTCCCACCGCGCTCCCCCCACTCCCACCGCGCTCCCACCGCGCTCCCCCCCCACTCCCACCGCGCTCCCACCGCGCTCCCCCCCCACTCCCCCCCCCACTCCCACCGCGCTCCCCCCCCACTCCCCCCCGCGCTCCCCCCCCCACTCCCACCCCACTCCCACCGCGCTCCCCCCCCCACTCCACCGCGCTCCACCGCGCTCCCCCCCCACTCCCACCGCGCTCCCACCGCGCTCTCCCCCCCACTCCCACCGCGCTCCACCGCGCTCCCCCCCCACTCCCACCGCGCTCCCCCCCACTCCCGCCCCCACTCCCACCGCGCTCCCCCACTCCCCCCCCCACTCCCACCGCGCTCCCGCCCTCACTCCCGCCCCACTCCCACCGCGCTCCCCCCACTCCCCCCCCACTCCCACCGCGCTCCCCCCCACTCCCGCCCCCACTCCCCCCGCGCTCCCGCCCTCACTCCCGCCCCCACTCCCACCGCGCTTCCCCCCCCCACTCCCCCACTCCCACTTCCTCCCCCACCATTCCCCCGTCCTCTCCCCCCGCTCCGCCGCTCTCCCCCCCCATAGCCCCGATCAACCCCACCCCCAGCTCGAGTCTGAAATGCTGTCACTGTGCAGCGCTTTGGGACGTCCTCCCGCCATGAAAGGCATTATGCAAATGTAATCTTGTTGTTGATTGTATACCAATGTACTGTGTTATATTGACATGGTGTCCTGCCTTTTCAGAACCCATTGGATGGCAACACCGCTCCCTCTGGCTCCTTCCCCCCGTGAATGTTCCTTTGGAATGTCCTCAAGGCATGAAAGCGCTGTATTAATCTAAATTATACACAATAAAGGCATTGGTCTGCTTCACACACCCACCACACTCTCTCTTGGCCATTAGGCTTTCAGCAAATCTGCCCCCACTTGTTGGAACTACATCCTAGAATCTGTCTCTCAGACTCCCTCCCTCACTCCCTCGTTTCTGGGGTCTGTCCCAAGACCTATCTATCCCGTCCCTACGCCTTTAGCTATCTTTCTCCTCACACGCCCCCGGCTCCCACTGCCCAGTGACGGTTCAGGTGCTCCGCCAAGACTGTCAGACAACTTGGGATGTTCTCGCAACATGAAAAGTGCTGCAGTCCCCTGCCTCACCCGCCCCAACATTAGCAAGCGGGCCTTCAGCCTCTCTGCCCCCACCCTCTGTAACTCCATCCCACAGTGCCACTTTACCCCCTTCCCTCGCCTCCTTCAAGACCCATCTCAAGACCCTCCTCTTCGACTGCGCCTTCAATCACCCTCCCCTCCCTTGCACCCAACCCCCAGCTCGTGTCCAAATCCCTGACTGTCCAGCACCTTTTGGGACATCCTCCTGATGTGAAAGATACTGTGTAAATGCCATTTGTTGTTGTTGCATAAATGTAAACCTGTCCTGCATCGTAACACAAGACTGCAAACAAAATCTTCAACATATTTTATTTAGAATGTGGCAAGTTTTTTAAAAAAAAGAAAGGACATTTGATCTTTACACAGTCAAGCCTCATCATAACAAACATCTTGGTCAGAGGGACAGCAGAATTGAGCCCCGTTTACCCCACTCGGCATATATTTATGTACAATAACAAAGCACCTCTAACAAACCTTTCTACTACCTTTTTATCTGACTTGGTTTGTTAGCTTGGTTGCAATGACTACATAGCAGCTGTTGATTTGACACTTGGTACCACTCCACATTCTTCCTGAGTGTATTCCCCACACCCCCAAATCAATCCCCTCGCAACTCTGACAAGAAAATACATCCCCCTTCTCCCCCCACACACAGAAACAAGAGCGCTACTAAAATAATAATAAAAATAATAATCCTTGCATTTGATATAGCACCTTATCACGTCTTCGAGACGTCTCAAAACGCTTCACAGAATATACTGTAAAGTGAATTGACTGTATATTTTGTGGGCGAAACGCAGCAGCCAATTGCGGACAGCAGCGTCCCACAAACAGCCGTGGATTGAGTGACCAAATTACAACTTTTTTTTTTGAAGGGATTATTACTAATTTGCAAATCAACTAACAACCAGGTTCCTACTTACTGCCAACTAAGTAAACAGGTTAGGTAAACAGGCGTGTCTGTGGGGTAAGGAAACTTGCCTAAGGTTTTGCCCTGACTGGGAATCGAACCCAGGTCACTTGCGAGGCGAGGGCTCTATTCAATAAGCTACAGGATTCCATAATTAACCTCCGAAATGGAGAGGAGGGATGGCCGGGGGTGTGGGGTGGGGGTGTGGAGAACAAAACGCATTCAAAAGAATATTTGCAATAATTAAATCAGACAATTCAAAGGTTAGATTTTGTAAACTCAAAACAAAGAAGGCAGCAGATCTCTGCAAATGAAATGGGTTGTTTTTAACTGAAACACTTGCTATTTTTTATTTTGGAGAAGAAAAAGTTTATAGAAATACTGACTGTAATATTATGTGCACAGTAAATTTTGTAAAACTAATGCAACTCTTAAAATTACTTCTGATTTATACATACTGTATATATCTTTTGATATATACACACACACGCACACAAAAGCACTAATGGAGCTGGGAATGAACAGAAAACGTCAATCTGGGAATCTTTTCAAGCAGAATATGGTAACTTCCATTTTTTTAAAAAAACTTAATTCCTTTTTTTTTCTCATTCATCTTTCAACAAGTAACTAGTACAAAATCAGTGCATCTTGCTCGCAATTAGCTTACAGGGAAACCTTTTATATATAGAGAGAGAGGGAGGGAGGGAGAGACACACACACATACAGAGGGTTACCAAAAAGTTGTGATATCTACCCTATTATCTAAAAAAAACCAAAATATCAGCATTTTTTCAAGACGTATTAGACATTGTAATGGCACGACAACATTTTGGTCACTCTGCACGAGCGCACGTACACACACACACACACACAAATCGGTGTGCATCTCACTTGTACTAAACGGATACCCGAATCAGGAAACCAATTGAGAGGTTTCACTCTGGGAGGGTTTACAAATTAATATAGGAGTGTTTCTTTTTTAAAAACCAAGTGGTATAAAATCAAAAGAATTTTTCCTTTAAAGAAAGTAATTTATTTCTGCCTTTGAGGCTGCGCCTTCCAACACCACATAATGACCCAATCAGAATGGTGGGAAGATCACCAGGACCCCCCAGTTCACTAATACTGCTCTATAACCAGACACGGGAGGTTTGTCCACGTGGAGATGGCAAGCATGGCTCCCTCAATTTGATTCGGACATTCTAAAGTCCTGCGATGGGTTTCCCGCTGCTTGTCCAGCTCGGACCACCCTATCCGTTAGGGCTTTGGCTGCAGAGTTAATAGGAGCTGAGGGGGAGGATTCTCTGCCCCCAGTGACCGGGCGGCCCTTCCAGGTCCTGCTGATGAGCCGGGCCGGGCTGTGCGGCCATCAGCACTGAGTGCCCTGGGACACTGCAGCCCCTCCTGGCTCAGGAACCGGACTGTCACAGAGGGGGGGCTCGATCCCCACATTCTGTTGGATGTCACTATTTGGTTATTTGGGTTTGCAAATGTGTCATATCTCAAAAACAGCAAATCTACAGCCAGCAGTTTACACCCCTGAGGTTGCTAATCCTGCATCGGTCAGGCCTTTTTCTGGGTGGAGCCCTCAAGCTTTTATTTGGCACTTTATCATCTTCCACCAGCTCACCCTGGCCTCCCAAACCCAAATTGGCTTTAATAGCCAGCAATACTGTCAGACAGAGAGAGAATTCAACAAAGGGTGTCAGGAATGCAATTAGGAAGCTGCAGTGGAAATCATCATAATAATACTTGCATTTGATACAGTGCCTTATCATGTCGTTGGGACGTCTCAAGGCGCTTCACAGAATATACTGTAAAGTGGAGTGACTGTATAATTTTGGGGGCCAAACGCAGCAGCCAATTGCATATAGCAGTGTCCCACAAACAGTCGTGGATTGAGTCACTAAATAATTCTTATTATTCTTTTTGATGGGGGGGGGCGAGGCTCAGTCAAAGATTGTAATTATAACAGGAATCACAAATAGCAACTCCCAACACTCACAGGAACTCAACTCTGACAC